CTAAGGAATCTATTATTTTGTAAATGTGACTGACTCCCCAAATGTCTCTGCTAGAAAATCTCACTGTTCTTACACTCTCTGAAGCACACTTTAAAAATTTTCTCTTCCTGTGACATCCCGTATTATTTTATCTCTTGATTCTCTTGATGCTTTTCTTTCAAGTCTACAAATTTGATCAGAATCTTTTAATTAGAAACTACAGTGCTATAAATAGTAGTAAGTACAAAATTCCTTACATCAAAGGGCGAACATATAAATAGGATTTTCTTCTCAATTTTTTTTTAAATGAAAGACTGATCTTTTTTGACAGAAATTTTTGTAATCTCTACCAGCAAAACTTATTAAAAAGCTTTATAAAGTGTTTTATTAGGGATACTTCTGGAGGAAGAAGCATGTTATGAAGAATTCCACAYTGCATCACAACATTTTTTAATTATTTTACCTTATGAGGAAAAATATTAATCATCATGTGCTGCTTTCAACACAAAGCTGATTATACACAATGTGAGGAAAATGTCTAAATTTTTCCTTTCAAAATTTTTGTTTGATCATTGAAGAAAGTGCATGGCTTGTAAATGTTTCACKGGTGGCTAAGATGTTTGACCTGTTAGAAATGAAAATCTTGGAAATGTATTTAAGGTTACCTCCAGAGCAGTGCACTGATGTTGATCTGCAATGATGTGTGTTGGTTGCAGTTGATGTACATTTATTGCYTTTGCAGATGGTCGTTCTTTGTGGCCAAAGTTTCTGGAGAAAGCTGATCCCCAGCAGGAGAACTGAAGGGACATCATTATTCTGCTGTGTTTCTTTGTAGTAATAAATAGTCATACTTGGTACTGATTGTCCACCTCCTCTATTACTGCAGTGATCCCTGAGGCATGGAGCAGGTGATTTAAAATAATTGGAATCACATTGCTCTTGGTTTGGCAGGAAGCTTTGCATACCTTTTTGTTTTTGTAGAATTCAAGCTCTTAATCTTTGTTTTAGATAAAATATCTTTGTGCTYAGTGATTTGAAATAATCTTTTCCACTCCATTTACTCTTGATTCCTTTCAGACGTTCACTGAGATGCYCAAACTTCACAGTCTTTAACAGAAGTTAGCTCTTGYRTGGCTGAATTAGGTGCATGGGATGYTCAGTATGTTCTGTAGTGGGGCTTGCAGTGCAGTACACTTATGCAGCACTAGAAATTGCAGCTGAAAGTACTGCAGCTGGTTTCAGAGCTGTTATTGATGTTTTTCTTCTTCAGTTGCATGACATTAAAATTTCAGACCTTTTTGATTGTGTTGGAGGCATGGCACTGCGCTCTTCCATTAAGTTGTTAGAATTTCTTTTCCTGGCTCTTGTTCATGTTCTGCTCTGAGTGCATCTTCTGGCCTGCAGGAGTTCCCCTTTTATGACTCAGCTGTCAACCCTTCATGTGTCAAGCTGATGGTTGTTGCAAAAAGCCTCAAGTTTTCTGAGAAAGTTCCTGGGTTTGAGAACTGAATGGCATAATTGATTGTCTTGCTTCAGTGGTTTAGAGGAGCCTTTGCAGGTGTCTCTCTTGTTATTTCTGCTTGACTGTGGTGATATAGGCGGAAAAGTACTTATTTCCTCTCTTTGAGTCCTTTTATTGACATATGTCTGTGAATGGAAGCTCCTGTGCAGCTGACACTTTACCTATTCGCTGAGCAGGCAGGTAGATGTGCTTCAAGATGATGTAGAGCCACGACTTTAAAAAATCCATTTCCTTTGTGGTTCTTAACTTGATATTCAGAGGAACGTTACCCTAAAAAATGCACTGTCTGGAATTCTTAAGTGCAGGTTTCTGTTAGGCTGGATAAGGTTTGTTATCGAAAAGGGGAATCTTGTCTTCTTCATCATTTTCTCGTGTGTTCCCTCTGGCTTCTTTCTGTTGCCTCTACCTCGTGGTTTATTCAGATCAGCTGATTTGCCTGACAAAAAACAGGCCCACTCTAAGTGGTGATTAATTTTTTGCTGCTGATCTGACTTTCTGGCTAGCCACATGAGCTGACAAGGGACAGTAGGTGGGAACACGTGGTCAGGATGGGCAGAACTGTTGGTTTTTGGCAGCAGCCCACAGTGTGCAGTGTGATGGTGCTTTACTAACACATATCAGGAAGGGATGCAATTTCTGGAAAGGGTTTGTCAGGCTATCCAAAATATCTTGATATCTTGGTAGGTTTGRAATATCCTTGTGATACACTTGTTTGCACTCGAGCTTAAACTTAATGGTAAATTTCTGGGTTTGCATTGTGTCTTGGGGAGTGGTTGCATCTGTGTGATGTTTTTCATAATAATTTATKAATACATATTTTCTCCCTAAAATCTACATTAGCAGTTTCTATCAGGGAATAACTGTGTTCCAGGGTCACCTTAGAAATACATTAGCCTTGTGATTGTTTATCTTAGAGTTGCGTTCAGCAGAGGAAATCTCCCAGACCAAATCGATATGGTGCAATATACCTGGCAGTTAAAAGCCAAACCAAACCAAAACAACAGAGTCATTTGTGCTCTTKTGATCTATGGGGTGGATAGATTTTAATGACAAATGTTACATTTAGTATATGTACATTTAGAAACCCAAGCTTTTTATATTCTTTCTTACTCACTGATTCTCTTCTGGTACCACATATGGTCATGCAGAAGACTTGGTTATTCTGTGTACAGAGTTCTAAATGATGGCATATTTAGCCGTGCTGTTAACAAGCAGGATTAATAAAGTGCTGTAGAATGTTCTTTGCATTTAATAATGTAATGATGAGAATCAAAAAAGTGGGCTGCCATTACTCCTTTGATCAGAAAGTGGTGATTTGCAGTGCAGGTGGGTGAATGAAGGTTGRTTAAAGTTGGCAAAGGGGCTGCAGTGGAACAAGGGAGTGGCAGAGCTGCCCTTGKTCCCTTGTTCCCTACTTGATTCTTGGCCTGTCACATCTTGTGTGTGAACARCAGCCTAAAAATTCACATCTAGCAAGAGAAGATGAAATTTTAAAATCATTCAAAGCAGACTCTGCTGCCTGAGAGGTGGGAAAGGAAACAACAATGGTAACATGATAACTTGATGAAGGTTGTTTTTGCTGTATTTGTGGTTGCAGTGTCTGCTGCGGAGAGCAGCAGCAGTGAAATGATGGTTCTGCATGTGGGTGCCGTGTGTGCTGTGGGTGTCTGCATTCTGTGGGTGTCTGTCATCGCAGATGCCAGCTGSCTGTGGTTTTCTTGTTTGTTTATATTTTTTATTTTTTATGTATTTTTGCTAGAAAGTAAGCTTTTAATATTGATGTCAAGTAACCACTAGAATTAGTTACCTGGATAATGTAAACTAGATGTAAAATATATATTGATTTGGTCGAAAACTGTACATTTGTTGAAAAAGGATGATCTTAAATGATCCAGCAATTACAAGAACCACTTAGCATGACCTGGTGTCCTGTCACAAAGGAGGTTAGATGTAGTGGGGATAGCCAGAAGGATATCTGACACTGAATTATGTCTATTGAGGTGCCTACTAAGGAGCTTTCCAATTTTACTGCATTCTTCTGAAGTATAATGTAAATGTGTGGAGTTTCTTGTCATGCAATTTTGGCTGCATATCCACAGTAGTGACACAGCCAGGCATTTTTATAGAGGGCCCTTAGCATCCCTTAGTAGGAGGAACTGTCCTGACTTCTGGTATTTTTAAAGGATTCATSTGTTTGTGGATATGTATTCATGGTTGCTGTCTTTTTTATTTATTAGTACTTGTGCTTATATATGTAGACATAAAAAGAAAATTTTGCTGTAGAGCAACTAAAAATGTAATAAACAAAAAAGTCATGATTCCCTCAACTTTTCATTGCTGCTGTTCTTTTCCAAGGAAGCTGGTATTCTTAGCCTTTCTGGATTTAATGCCTATTGAAGGCCTGCCAGTAGTTTTAGAAAGAGTGAATTTGATGATTCGCATTATGCCATCCTGTCCCATGTTTCCCAGAGTTTTCAGTAAATCATTTGTTACAGCTGTACTATCCTGCATTGTGTTTATTTGGAGAAGTGTAGTTTGGAGTTGTAAGTGGTTCTTCAGCGTTTCCTCTTTGGTCCTCTGTCTACATGCTCCGAAACTTAATGTGCAGATTTCAATGGAAAGAAAATAAGAACAACGTTGATGCTGCTCCAAAATGTCTCCAAGTAGCTGTCCTTATTAATTAGTTAAATAACATGGCTGTTCTGTTTCTTGGGAGTTTTCAGGTCTGCAAACAAGTGTTGCATTTCTGTTGGATAGCTGAGTGTTTTCTTCCACTTTTAGGAGAATAAAACCCTTTCTGGCAGTTGGAAGTTACAAAGTATTCCCATGTTTGCCCTCTGTAGCACTGAATTAAGGGAGCTAATTTGGGGAGAATATATGGCAAAGAAAGGAAGAAAAGAAAGAAAGAAAGCTGTTTCTCTKCTACCCATTTTTCTTTGGTTTTAGTAGCTGCTCAAGGATTTGGAGTTTTGGGAACCTTTTAGAGGGCTGTGAGTCCGCTTTACAGAGAATGCTGCTAATTATATTTTAGGCCATTGCTATCCCCTCTCTATATGGACTTAAATGAGAGTCTGTGTGAATGAACAGTTTCTTWCAGGCAGTGTTGGTGAGATTTTTGCGTGTGTTGTTGTCTGACCAAGGCAGGAATATCTCAGCCGTTCCCTCTGGTCTGTGCCCAGGGTCAGGCTGAGGAACATACAAGACAGGGGAGGTCTCACCTCCCTTTGCCCTGAGTTTTGGCCAGGATGGGGGTTCAAAGATTCATTTCATATCATGTAGATGGGTTAAGATGGGAGGGTTACTCTGAGTCACTCTGTTATTCTGTAGATTCAGAAAACTGATATTCATYATCATAGACTGCTTTGTCCTTTTCAATGCAATGTTATTTGGTTAATGACATATTTTTACTTAGTGTATATGTTTTGTTTCTGCATTCACAAACCTGTACAATAGGTTTTGCCATGACTTAATAGTAATTCCTGTCTTTTCCATATTGCAGTCTACCCACATTGCTCGAGCCAGCTTCCAGGTTGATGCTTTTGGATCATCTTTCATCTTAGACGTGACACTAAACCAGTAAGTAATGGCTGTGTCTTACTCTACATTTGTCCAAGACCTGATGCCTCTGAAATGTAATTTTCTAGTGGAGATTTTAGAAGATGTATTATAGCRAAAATACTGGTTTAGTTATTGAGTTCATTTGTAGTGGTATATTGTAGATTCTTCTGTTACTTTCTCGAGCACCACTCTAGGCTTTGGTATTCTCACTGTCACTACTTGGTAGCTATTCCAGTATAGCTAACATTTTAATAGTGTAATTCCATTTCACAGAATCACAGAATGTTTCAGGTYGAAAGGGTTCACAGTGGGTCATCTGGCCCAACCTCCCTGCTCAAGCAGGGTTATCCCAGAGCGCACTGCACAAAATTGTGTTCAGATGGTTTTTAAATATCTCCAGTGAGGGAGAGTCCACCTTCTCTGGACAATCTGTTCCAGTCCATGGTCACCCACACAGTAAAGAAGTTCTTCCTCATATTTAGGTGCAATTTCCTCAGTTTCTGCCCRTTGCCTCATGCCCTATTGCTTGGAACCACCAAGCAGAGCCTGGTCCATCCTCTTGGCACCCTCCCTTTGGACACTGACAGACACTGGTGAGGTCCCTTCTCAGCCCTCTTTTCTCAAGGTTGAACAGGCCCAGCTSCCTCAACCTTTCCTCCTAAGAGAGGTGCTCCAGTCCTTTAATCATCTTTATTGCCTTCTGATGGACTTTTTTCAGGAGCTCYGTGTCTCTCCTGTTCTCAGGAGCCYRGAGCTGGACACAGCACTCCAGGTTCTGCCAGTTTATCATAAAGGCAGATCACTACACTCACACAGAGCCTCACTGGATATTAAAGGATGGATTTGCCAAAAWCTGGTAGCTCTGAGCATTTTAATAGCCAAGCGTAGAGTACTGAAGAAACAGCAATTGCACAACAGCTAATCCTCAAAAAACAATGAATAATTGGGAATGAAGTTTCTCCAGATGCGTTTACAGCCTTTTGGGAACAGTGAAGCATTATAAGGCAGTAGCACTGTGAACTTCAGGCYATGAGGAAAGACTGAATAATAGTAAGCTTGCAGTGAAATTTGGTGTGTGGCTTTCAGTAATGAGTTTTTGAAGTAGTCTTTTAGCAAAACTGTTTTAAAATAGAGCTTGCTTTGCTTTTCTGTTCTGAAGAGAAAAGAGAATAAATAATGTAGTAAATAGAAGTGTTTTGTTAAGTAATTCAGTGCCTAATAATTGAACACAATGTTATGTGGTTTGAAGTAAGTGTTTGTGTCCAATTCTACAAGTTTTTCTGGTGTAAAGATGAACTGTTCGGGTTGCAATGACATYCACTCAAATTTCAGATTCTTTTTTTTCACTTGTAGACATACTTGAAACAGTGGCAATTTCTTTACATGCRCTGACCTTGGTTAAAAAAACGCATGTGAATCCCTGCTGGTTACAGACAGTGGAGATGTTGTGCTGCTGGAAGGAGCAGGGAAGAAGCTTTTTTACAAGTATGAGTTTATAACAAATGTACTTTAAAACAGTTACAGAAGAAAAATATTCTGCTGAAAAGCACCAAATCCTCAACACTGAAATGTTTCTCAGAAGTAGCAATTTTGTATASGTATTTATACCTTACTGAGAGCAGGCTGCACAAACCTGTTTTAATTTGGCASGTTAATGGTGTGATCATAGTTCATTTCCAACAGGAGAGTGTTGTCCTTACAGTATGAATTTCAGGTCATCATGAAAAAACTAAACACATTTACTAATGGTCTTTGAAAAGAGAAGTTAAGGCTGAGATTTTATAAGCTGCAGCTCTATATGTTTAGGAAACTTGTAGGTAGATTTTTTTGTTTATTCAAATATACATATAGACACACAAACATATGTTCAATATTTTATTTGTTTTGAGCTGAGTGCTATTTTTGTGTCATTCCTTTATTGTCTTGGATGATATTGCACAAGTATGTGTATGGTAAGACTGTCAAAATGCTTTCTTCTTGTTCTTAAGAGTCACAGAATGCAACTTAATATGAACTTTTTTAGAAGGGCTACACTTTTTACAGTATGAAAGAAGKTCAAGCACAAATTGTGCAAAATGAAAAGGAGAAGGCTGCAGGCAAATCAAGATGTTTAGCTTCTGTCATGATATCTAAATCAACTTTTACACTACCTCTGAATTATAATTTGCAGATCATCAAATAAAAAGAGGGCCAGGTATACTAGAGCAACATTTCAAATGTATTCTGAATTATCACTCCTTTGGAAAAAATCTGTTTTATTCAGAGGGTTGTAAATGCTTTTTCTCTTTGGCAGTTCTTACTTTCCGTATTATGTTCTGTGTGTATATTTGGACCACAGTAGCTCTACAGTTGAAAAGCAGTCAAATTGTTGTAAGCAGCAAAGTTCAAGATTTTAGTTATCCTGTGGAAAAAATATCAGTTCAGTATTTATAACTGAACCTATCTAAAACATGCTGAAGCTGACCCCTGTGGCAAAATTCTCTCTTACATGTAATACACATTTGAGAAGTGTTAAAGGAGATATGGAGGACAGAGTGGGGGAAGTAATTTAAAATACAAAGGTTATCAGAAAGGAGGGACACTCCCTGCCTGTGTCAGTCTCTTTTCATGTTGTCTTCCTGCTGTTTAAAGCTTGGTGAGTCTGAATATATCTGAGCCTCATCTGTAGTTACRATATCATTGGTGGTCAGTCACAGTGAAAGTGTTCATTCTTCTGTATGGTTTCCCAATTTATGGAGGAAAAAAAGTTCAAAATTAAAATGAGAATAGCAAACAAGGAGCTTAAAAAAATCAGAAATTAAAATATGCTCCCGACTCCTGATGTTTGTCTGCAAATAGCTTTTCGTCCTGTGCTGCTTTCCATGTGGGCGTTATTTTCTCTACTCCCTTCAAATCCATCTTTTTATCTGTCAGATTCTCTGTTCCCTCTGCTGCATYGGCCTGTGCTATTTTATACATACTCCTGTTGTGTCTTCTATTTTATTTTAGGTTCTGTTGTGTTTGTGTATTTTTTATCTCTGTTCTTACTCAGTTCTCTAGAGACAGGCTTTTCTCTCTTGTCTTTTTCCACCGGGAATAGTTGTCCACTCTGCCATCACCATAGGTACTGCACAAATATCTTATTTTTCTTCAACTTTTCATTGTCAACTTTGTGTACACTCCCAGTTGAGGCTGTCAGGAATGTTAATGGTCTCCCACTTTTCTCTCTTTCCCTCACTGCCTGCCACCTTCTGTTTTACCTCTTCACTTCGCTYGCTGCTATTGATTTGGGGTGTTAGTTGAAGCAACTTTCCCTTCTTCTGCCACCTCACACAACAATGGCCTGCAACCAATATTCACTGATTTCTGCAGTGAAACTAGCTGGGAAGGTACAGGAAAATAAAATAGCAGAGCTTACACCGACATTTCACACATCAGGAAAACTGAGGGCCGGGACAGGRGCATTCTGCAAGTCCTGGCTGCAAGTGAGAGGAAGGAAATGAAAAGATTTCCAACTGGCATTAAAGTGTGGCAGTCTAATTTAACACTGAAATCTGGGTGCTTTCTTCTTGCTCATTTTGGATCTCAACTTGTTGCGATGTGCATTTGTTCACATTAAATGCAGATGTAAAATACGCTGACATATAACCTGGAATGACAAAAAGTAATAATAAGCTGTTAAAATTACAATGTAGTTTCCTTTTTTTTTTTTTTTTTAATTCCCAGCGATGGTAGTATTTTTCTCCACGTACATCACCATTCTTTCTCTCCTCCTTTTTTCCCCTGAGTTGCCATAGTGTCTCTACAATGAGCTTTTTTTAAGGTACAGTGTTTCTTTTTAACTTTCCTTGCCTGTTCAACTGGCTGAAGCTTTTACAAAGGAGCTTTCAGACTGAATCAGCTGTATTTTTCAAAGGTTCAATCTCTTAGGCAGAGGTTAGGGATGCATTAGTGACTTTGGTGTGTTTATGAGTCGGTTGCCTCGGTATCCTTATGTGTTCAGGGCTGCATCTAATGGAGCTGTTTTCTCTGGCCATCCTCATTAGTGCTTCCAGGGCTGGCCAGTGGCACAGGCAGGTGCTGGTCCAGCCTTCCCACCCTCCACGTGTCCAGCTCTGGCCACTGACCCAAACCTGTGCAGGGGTCACACGGCAATRAAGTGTTCTTCCTCATTTCCTTCTTTCAATTCCTCCCTGTGSTGGTTTKGCTTGGTCCATTTTTTAGTGGTGTGGGATTACCCTGTCCATCCTGGTGACACTCTGGGATGGAGCATGACCATCAGCTGCTTTCTCTTCTTGYCACACAAATTGAATTCCTTTGGTCCATGTTTTGGTGGAAGATGATCTGTACAGGAGTAGGAAGCTGGGTGAGATGTGGTCAGAAATTCTGCCACTTCAGGAAGCTCACACATCATCTGTTCCCACTGAGCACCTGGCCCTGTCCCAAAGGAATAACAGCACACTGTATAAATTGATGGTTGTGATGATAATTTAAGAAGGCTGAAAAACTACATATGAGGCAATTTTTAAAAACCTTTCAGTCATTCTATTCCCTATATGGAAAATAAACACCCCTTTCTCTTAGCTTATCAAAAGGTAGACAAAGCAAAAAAAGCTTATTCAGAAAATATTGATAGATCAATTTTAATTGAAATTTTTTCTAATTAGTGATACTGGAAGGTTCTTGGCACTCCAAGAGTTGAATTGTTTTCCTTCGCCGCTGAAATGTTTCTTGCAGCTTCTGCTGAGAAGGATGCAGACATTCCTCATACCTTATGGGGAATGTTTATTAGGAAYATCTTTTCACTAGAGTTTTGCAAACCTTACAGGATCAGATTGTAAACTCCATCAAAAAATCCTGAGAAGAAAAGCAAAATAAAAGGCAGCTTGACAGACAAGTGCCAGCTTTTTCATGAGGCAAACTGCTGAAACTTTGTCTGTAATTTCTCTTGGCAAATGATCTCCAACACTAATATCGATGTGTCATGTAAGCTGTAAATCTAAAACATATTCCTAAATTTGCTCTAAATTGTAAACATT